TAACTACTGGCAATTAGAAATCAAAAGCCCACAGAAAGCAAAAATATAAACTTTATTCCATTCCATCTGAATTTATAGAATATCTTAAGAACAGATTTAAAGCACTAATTACTGGAGATGAGAAGTATGGGATGATATCACACATGAAAAAAGCAAAAGGTAATTAAAAATACAAGGAAAAAAGAACAGGACAAAGTGAATATCAAAAATAGATTCTAAAACTTGTTTTGGAACATAAAGTACTTAAAGCAAATAAAAGAAATAATGAAGTATAGAAGTTGAAAAGAAAATATCAAAAGGGCAGCTTGAGAAGACAACTGAAGCATCATAATGAAATGGACAACAGTCCCCCATAGTTAGAAAACAAGATGGAAATAAATGAAAGAACTGAAGAAAAAAATCAAGTCTCAAGTTGAAATATGGATGGATTTTACTGGAAAGTATTCCATGATGCAAAATGCGATGAATTCACTGACTATTTTGAGAGGTAGCATATGATCTAGAACAGGTAGCACCGAAGGAAGAGGTACACACTGCTGTGATGGCACTGGTAAAAACCAGGACTCCAGGAATTGATGGAATTCCAAAGGGCATATTTCAGCAAGTTAATAAAGCACTGGAAGCAGACACTCGCCTATGCCAAGAAATTTCAGTACAGCTAGATAGACAACTGATTGGAAGAGACTCATATTTTGTGCCCATTCCAAAGAAAGGTGACACAACAGAATGTGGGAATCACCAAACAAAATTAATAATATTATATGCAAGTAAAATTTTGCTGATGATAATTCAGACAACTTTTGCAGTAATGCATTGGCAGGGAGCTGCCAGAAACTCACGCTACATTCCAAAGTTGCATACTAAAAACTGATGAATCTGGATTGAAAGAAAAAACATATGTATTAGAAAGATGTTTACTTATGATTTTCTGTGTGTCGCTCATAACAGACAGCAGATAACATTGGGGAGACTTCAAAATCCAGAACATGTAACGGTGTTCACACAGAACTTCGACATCGAACAAGAGGCAGTCAGTCACAGAGAACAAGAGGGAAGCATGAAAGGTAAGTGCCCGGCTTTTAAGGAAACTCTGGTTTCCAGTAAAGTCTTTTCCATAGAGTCTGGAGTCATTAGTAAGTTACTTTTCATTTATCTAGTTTTAACTCACCCAGTGTTCTTTGTCTCACTTCTTAAACATTTTTTGGGAGTTACCTTCTCTCTGCTTTTTACATGTGCCTCTAGCTTTTATAGCTTAAGCCAGCAAAACAGAAAGTCACATGTTTAACATCATGAAAATACCAACTTTCTTTGGTTTGTTACTCTATTGTAAATGCCTAGAAATGCTTGGCACATAGGCCTGACTATTAAGTGAACAGTGAATTGTAATATTATTTGTATCATACATATTTAATTCTACTTAATTAGTTCTAATAGAAAGTATGTCATGATCCACTAAATTTAATTAGTCTACTCACTTTAATGGTGGCCCTCAGTTTGAATAATTTTCACCCCTCTGTTTTGAACACACTGGGCACAACTCTGAGCATGGACACCTGCCATTTCTACTAAACACAAAGTAGAATCTTTGTTTCCCCAGTCTTTTACTCCATAACCAAACCAGGCTAGTCTTCATGCTAGTTCCAGAATATTCAGTACGTTTATGTAACAGAACTGTTGCTTATTATTGACTCCTCCTGGGCCTCTCTGTCCTCCAAAAGTCTTGAGGTCAATTCATTCACCCCTAATTCCTTTTTCTGATGTCACTTTCCCAATGAGGACTATCACGATATTCATATTAGCAAACCCACATTCCAACCTCCTGGGAATCATGTCACTCTACTGTTTTCTCCCACAGCACTATCACCCTTAACTCAACATCATAACAAGACAAAAGGCGCACCGTAGGAGGATTGATCCCTGTCCATGTTCTTCACCATCTTTACTGTCCACTAATTCACACAAAAGTGATAAATCGATATTTACTTAAAATTAATGAATGCCTAGCACCTTTGAGAAAAAACATCCATCAACTTAGTCTCAGGATAAATTCCTAGCAAGAAATTATTACTTGCTTCTTTGCTGAAGGGGGAAATTTGCAGAGACAAAGCAGTGGACAAAAATGAAAGAAAAAATATGAAATAATGGATTACAATTTTGAGGAGAAAGAAAACAAATAATCAAAAATCATTGCATTAACCAAATTGGCTAACCACCTTTGCCTAACACTAAGTTAACTCAATTTACACAGTATATTTCCACTTAACACTTATTGTTGACCAATATTTATGAGATCTTCCCTACATCATGAACAGATTTCAACTTTAATACTTATCAAATGGGCCAATATTGGTTAAAAGAATATCACAGTCAGTCTTTTAATTCAAATTTTACATAAATTTAAAATGTGCATTTATATTCACTACATAAAGTATTCTATGCAATCAAGACTCAACAGTACATTGGTAACAGCAAAATTACTTTTGATACCATAATTTTACTCGTTAGCAATTCCTTAATTAATGCCTAAATATAATTTACTTTCTCTATTTCAAATAATTCCATTCTGCTTTCCAAAATACTTAGTTTATAAAAATATTCAAAAAATCAGGTTAATCTTTAAATTCTTTAATAATGTCTTAAAATTTCAGGACCATAGACAATGCATTTTTTGATACGTTTTCTTATATGTAAAACCTAATTCTTAAATTTCCAAAATACAAATTATATAATTTGCATATTCTCTAAAAGTACAAATTAACCTTTTAACCTTGAAAAACTGATACAATTGTCTTTGCCTACACTTTCACTATCTGAGTATAATATCCTCTTTTTGGTTATTTATGTGGAAAGTTTGAAATTTGAGCAATAATATAATTATAGTGAATTTCACATCATTGTCACCTACTGCACAGAGGTCAAATGAGAAATTTTGTGAATAACAGAGTGGCTAGTGGCTGTATATTGCTAAACATCTTAATTTCTATAGAAATAAAAAACCTGTAGAAATTAAGAGGGAAATGAGAATTCAAATGTCAAAAAAGAGAATCAGAATTATATATGAGAGGGAAAAATGTTTTCTTTATTGTAACATCTGAAAATACTTAAAAGCATATGAGTCCAGAACAATTCTAACCTTCACTTAGAAAAGACAGCTCATTGTTACCTCCTAGGCAGCCAATGAATGAAAGCAGGATCAACTGCTTCCGTGACATCATCTTTAATTGCCAAAAGCAAGAGTAGCTTTGTCCAGACACTGATGAACGAAATGCTTTATCTTCAGGTAAATCCTTTAATCTGTAAAATATATGTACAAAGAAGTTAGACTTGTAAAAATTTAACTGCTTCAAAAGTACATTTTTCTTTGTATGAATCTAACATTCATAAACACTTAAAATCATCAAACAAAACAAATATTTTCTGACATAAAGCAGAGGATTATTTTGAAATGCTGATGCTTTAAAATTGTGTGTGTAGCTGTCTGAGATAGTTAAGGTTTATTGTGACAAACTGGCCGATAGGCACATGTGGGATTAATTGAAGGGCGGAGAGATAAATGGCTCAGTGAGCCTCGCCATTCTAGTTCTCAGGTCTCTTGCTCTCTGATGGCCGGACCAGGGTGTAGCAGCCTTACCCAGTTCCCTGCTTCAGCTGGCAAGGCTCCCTTCCTGCAAGACAACTCTGAGGAGAAGCTACATGGACCTACCCTGATGCAGCCCTGGGTGCTGGAGCAGCCATATAAAGAACCCTGTCAGCACTGAGATGCTTACATGCTCACTGATTCAGCTTTCCTCCTGCAGTCAGCATCATTGCGTGTGTTTTGTGAGATGAAGGAGGACTTTGTAAATTGGTGTTGGACATATAGGCTAATGTTGGACTTATGGGCTTAGACAGCACTGGGTTGGGATGCTTTCTGAATGTACATTTACCCTTTATATTAAATTCTCTCTCATACATATGAGTTTCTGTAGATTTGTTTTCTAATGTACCCAGACAAACACACTGTCCTACAAATGGGAATAGTTTCACAGATCTAGAAATCTCACTCAAACAAAAATAACATAGTAAATATTAAAACTACTATTGCTAGGTATTAACTGTAGCAAATTAAATATTTTCCTAAAATTGTATTTTTCCCAATTTCTCTACCAATATATTTTTATAAAACTCAACAGTACATATAATCAAGTATGTTATAATTCTACTTTTTGTAGTCTCCAATACCCTAATAAGGCTTAGAATTTATAAGCAGCACTCTTAATATCCATTTTACCTTTTAGAATCACTTGCAGAAAGCTCTCAATTGTATATACTGCACAAAACAGATTAAAACAGGCCAGTTAATTTTAGAAATTGTTCACATTACTTAAGTACCTTGCAAATAAAGCTATTTTCTTTTTTGGTTTTCTTGTTTTCATAAGTTTGAATAGGTTGTTTAAGAGGAAATAACTTCTTGAAAGGCCTGTGTCCATTTTACTGGCCACTAGATATTCTGCATAGTTAATAATCAGATAGGTTAAGTATGCACCCCTAACATTAGAGATTGTTCTCAAGATTGCAAGGACTCAGTTTGTTCCAAGTAGGAGAATTAACTATTTAAAATTTGCCACGTGAACAGGGTAGGCATACCCTGTCTGATTGAGCTGTTGCTACTGATTGGACTGTTTCAGCGGTTGCTGAGCTAAAGGGCAGAAATGTTAGCTTTCCTTAAACAGTGGTTCTCAGTCCTGTACTCCTGACTTGTGGTATATCCAATTGCTTATTAAATAAGTCCCAAATAAGACTAATATCAAGAGTGCAAACACGATACCTTGCAAATGACACACTTAAAACCGTACATGGTGATCAACTAGCCCTATAGTAATGCTGTTCTTGTTCACTACTTGCAATCCAGAAAACACTTTTGGGTGGGGAATAGCAGGTTATATAGCAGTTAGAATGTCAGAAATTATGCAGCGATCTGACTGTGCCCATGAGTCTGAGGTCATCTGGCACAGGTGGAAATATGATTGTGAACTCCTGTTCTAACAACTACAGGTAAGCAGTTTACATCTTCGTGAGATAGTCAATCTGGATTTATCCCAAAGAAAACCATACTAAAAAACTTCCAATGCAAGTAGTTTACTTGTGAGTTGAAGGAAAAATGCCATTGGAGCAGAGATATAGGGAAAGAAGGCAGCCAGTAAAGGCTGAGACATAAAGCCACCCATCATCATAAATGGGGGTTATTCCTGCTGAATGCATGGAAGTTTAGAGTATGTACATATCACCAGATTACTCTAACCCTGGGTGAAGGAGCCAGGCTATTAATACATCTACTTTAATTAATCTTGGTTCGGAGACTGCTTCGAGGAAACTTCAATTACCCAGCATGTCTAACCTCCCCATGGGACTGAAAAATGACTCCAAAGGCCAATTAATGTTCTCAAGTAAAGAAATAGAATATAGAGAAATCCGAAGTTGAAGCAGGCAAGAGAATTTGAGTAGGACACACATCGTTATGTGCCATACAGGCACATAAAATGGGGATAGTTGTAAGCAATTTTCAATAGCATCAGGCCTCATGTGGCTGAAATTAATGGATATTGGAAGCTTGCAGCGAGGATGTCACACTGTAACCCAGTCCATCATGATACTTCTCAAGCCTTTCCAGTGGTTTACCCCGCTTAGCCCCTGAACTAAAGACTTTCAGATACCTGTCTTACTTCCCTTACTTCTGGTGAACAAGGGCACACCCTATGTCCACGTGAATATAACTCAGTTTCCTATGCTGGAATTCTTTGAAAGAAAATAATTCTCAAAAATCATCCTAGATGACATTTAACATGTAACTGAAAATCATTAACCATCACAGCCTTCCAATGGTACATGTACAGAAACTGTAGTCAAGATAAAGAAGAGTGAATAAATCAGTATGTGTGCTCGTGCACACAGAAGGGCTTCAAAAGGTTAATGGGAAAAATACCATTATATTTCCGTTTCACTTCACCACAAATCTTTTGCAGCCCTCTCTTCTATAAACAAATACAGGGATCCCCACTGGCACTACAGTATTTAGCTGCCAACTTAAAAGAGTGGCGTGTTGAACCAGCTACTAAAATACCAGCTGACTTGCTCCCATGAAGATTTCAGCCTCAGAAATTCTGTTGGGGAGTTGTACTCTGTCACGTGAGGCTGCTAGGAGTCTGAAGTGATACAATAGCATCTCTCTGCCAACAAAACGTGCAAACACACACATATGCACGCATGCACACACAGGCTTCCCGCCTGCATGGAAAATACGGAATGCAAAAAAATCCAATTTTTCCAGGAGCTTTTTGAAGTACACAAAAGTATATATGTGTGTACTTATACACATAAACATGCACACATAAAAAGGCACATTTATAGATAGATATAGATATACTTACATACATGTTTTTGTATATTCACAAAAACCAAGATTTTTATTATGAAGTTAAATACAATAACTGTCAATCATAAAAGACATGGCAAATGTGAAACGTGTAAATACAATGCTTCCAAGATTTTCAAAAAGCATTTGAAGTCTGAGGCCAGTGGGTGAAAAATATGACCAGAGGGAAATTTGAAGGGTTAAAGGGGATTCAAACTGAAATCTCTTCCCTAGAAGAGATTATAACTATCTCCATTTGTACACAAAATCTAATCTGAAGAGAATTTGGTTATTACACAGTAGACTAGCAAGAATTATTAGCTAACTTTTTTTGTCAGAAACACAAAATTCAAACAAAAGATCCTGCACAACATCATTTTCACCACCCCCGCCACCATCACCAGTAGCATCATCATTTTAAAAGACGGAAATGAACATAGAAAGCTGAGTGATGCAAACGAAGAAGGCTTGGTGCTGTCATTCCGACTGAGGGCAGCTTCGTGTGTTACAGATGAGAACCGCCTCATGGAGGCTTCTTGGCCGAATCTTTGCAGAAACCCAGTTTCACATCGCGCTCAGCAGGTTCAAACCGTCACCATTCATGTTTGCAGTGGAGCACAAGCCTTTTGAACTACCTAAACCCTGTGGGACTATTTATAAATGAGTGGATAGGACTAAAGATCATCCAAACACTTTGTCCATAGTAGGCCTTCAAGCAATATTGCTAGATGACTTTTAAGATGATGCCTAACTAATAGTAACATTAAAAAAAATAGAAAACTAAAAATAACAAATGCCGGAGAGAGTACAGAGAGATTGGAACCCATACACACTACTAGTGAGACGATGACAGACAACCATTACTGTGGGAATTGTTATGGGTTTCCACAGACGAATGGGAGTGGAAAACCGTCTGACTCGGGTATCCCTGTACTTCACATATCCCCTAAAGCAATAAGGAACAGAGCACGAACACACACACACAAACACGCCCACACATGCACACACAGAAACAACCTACATGCCCATGTGTGGAAGCATAGATAAACTTGTATACATATATACGGTGGAGTCATTTAAAGAATAATAAGGAATCTGTCAAACACCTCATGAAATTTATAGAATTGGAAGGCATTACACTGAATGAGGTTACTCAATCACAAAAGGATGAACCACTGTCAAAACTTAATAATTAAATATAATATAATAATAAGGGGGAGAGTTGGGGAGGGAGAGAATAAAGGGGAGTTGATATATAAAGGTTCAAGAAAAAAGAAAATGTTTTGAAACTAATGGTGGCAGCAATTATACAATTATGCATGATCTAATTGAATTATGGATTGTTATAATATCTGTAAAAGCACCCAATAAAATGAAAAAGAAAAACAAGAAAAGGGTTTCATACTAAAAGAAGCATATTATTACAGCCATCAGTGTTGTGAAGGGGAGGGCTAGTAATGCGTGAGCAGGCAGACCGGGCAGGGTTCACTTGGGTGAAGGGTAAGATTATATCCAACAAGAGCGAAGTGGGAAAAAATTAATAGTGATGGAAACGGGAAAAGCCATAGGGAGGTTATGATATGTTGTTGAATTACAAATGGCTATCTGATTGGTAAATCCTCACCTAATTCAAAATGAAACTTTTTTTAAGGCTGGCATTAAAGGAAAAATGATGTGAGATTATAAATCTACTTTGCTATTTATATTGAAGATAATGTGATAATTTAAATTTATTAACTATGTTATTTACTAGATATTCTATTAATTCTGTTTAACTTCTAGTTCACATCATCTTGAGCAAGAATTCTAGATTCCACCAGAATACTGGAATTTTAGTTTAACTAAATAGTGGATATATTTTTCATAAAAATA